TAAACGAACCACCTACACAACTTAAGAAACCAAAGAAAAAGACCGCCTACCAGACCTTTCTCGGCCAATGGAACACTCACCGCCTCGCCGTGGCGAAGCTGACAGCTAGCGACCAGCTTCTTCGGTACTTCAAGCTGTCCAGCCATGCGGCGGACCCTGTTGATGATATAGGTAGGCCTCGACGCCCCAGTGGGCATCATACCACCTACCCTCTTCAACCAGTCATATGCATATAATGTGATTACTAATATTTGTATTTTTTATTTGTCTCGCAGAGGAGCTCATGGAGACCGTCGCCCGCGTCGATGTCCCTAAGACCACCATTGACACCGACGAGGTCCCACTGACCACTCCCGCCACCGAGGAGGTCCTAGTGACGACCGCCGTAACGGAAAAGCAGACGACTCCAAAGCAGCGCTACCGCCAACCACCAATCGGGAACTTCTCAAAGAAGCGCAAGGTCACTTCCCAGAGCGACGAGCCGCGTACCATTACCGTGCCGGAGAAATTCGCAGGCAACAAAGACACAGAGGCCTCAGTCTCCTACTTCCTTTCCATCTTCCCCGATCGCGAGACAGTCAAGTGGCCAACTAAGGAGCACCGAGCCAGTGACACCATGTTTCATCTCAGTCAGGTACACCCCCACATCTCAACTTTATACTTGTCGCACTTAAATCTCATGAAGTTAACACCCAACCACTTCTATCTTTTTCAACAGGCTATGGCCGGTCTAGCCCCCATCCTCAATGAGGCTATGGAAGGTGACTCTGAGGAAATGGAGAAACTGAAGGGCAAGGTGGCTAGGAGGGATGCACAGGTTGCTACCCTCAAGCAAGATCTTACCAAGGAGAAGGCCGAGAAGGAAGAGCTCCAGGGCGAGCTAGAGGCTCTTCGGCGATCCTTTGACGAGCGCATCGTCCAGGCCCAACAGGAGGCCCGAGCTACATACCTCGACTCGGAGTTCGGGACCCGCTTCCTCAAGTGCTACCGAGATGAGCTATTGGCGCGCTACAACGACTCCAAGGTGTTCTTCCAGCGGGTTGTCAAGGACTGCCTCCAGTATTTCAGAGCAGGGGTCGAGCGGACC